TACCACTCCACGTCTAGTGAAGCATGACTCATCGGTCCATAAAACGTTACTTAAAAACTCCGTATTATTTTCAGTTCTATCAAGAATCCACTGACAAAATGTGATTCTTCGTTCTCCGTCCCCTGGCTGTAATCCTTACACAGGTTGCAAATGGTAAGGACGTCTATGGTCATTTCTAAGAATACGGTGAACATGGCTTGCTGAAATTCCCAAGGCACCAGAAACTCTCCTAACACTTGTGGTCGGATCTCTATCAAACTCACGCAGAATCATACGGGTAAATCTGCGCTGACGAACATTTATGTTTTGATCCCTTCGGAGATTTCCAAAACCATTTTCAATTATTTGGTGATGCACTCTTACAAATACTGAGCGGATTGGATGTCGTCTGTTTGGAAATCTTCGTGCGTATTCTCTGGCTGCTTCTGCTGCGTTTCCTTTTACAAAGCCATATACAAAATGAATATCCGCTAACTCTTGATTGGAGAATAAAAATGGCATTTTTATAAAACTTACAAAAAAAACAGGTAAAAGAAACTAAAGTTCGTGCATTCACAATTGCAAAAAAACGTTTCAGGTTTAAACAGACAACAAAACTAACTGTCAACTAATTGACGTTTAACCTTATTCTGCTTTCAATTTCAAAAATATTTGCAGGCACAGCCTACTTCTAAAATTTATCGAGATACTGACTTTTTAACGTTATTTTATCATAAATAATTAAAAATGCATCGAACCTTAAACATCGAAATATCTCAAAAACGGCTAACTATAACGAAAACTCCCAAGAGAGCTTTTTTATGTTGAAAAGTGCGAAGAATCAGTTTTTTTATTCAAAAAGCAAAAAATTGCACTAAGAAAAAATTTTCGGTCATTTTGATACACTACAGGTACAGTAGAAAGCGCCCTCTAGCGGCTACAGTAAAACTATGCCCATGGTTCGTTTTGTCGTACCAAAGAACCCTTGTATACCAATTTTCACTGTTATACATCAAAATTTGTTCGAAATATTTAAAAAAACTATTTTAGAAAGTATATTTAAACACCCTGTATTTCGGAAGCCACGCGTTTTTCGACCAATGTTTATATAAACTTTATGCATTAATTTTAAAAGTTCTATTGAATCTCAAAGGGAGAAAGGCTGATCATACTCAATGCTGGCAGTGAAAATGGATTTATACCCAATGCGCACGTACGATGGAAATCTACATGTAGCACAGGAGATTATCATAATGAAATGAATTTTGATAATTATAAAAAGTGGCTAAAAGAAAAACTAATTCCAAATCTACCTCCCAGAAGTGTGGTTGTTATAGATAATGCGCCGTACCACAATAAACAGATAGACAAAAGTCCAACATCTTCAACCGCTAAAGCTGAAATGAAATGAATATTTTTTTTACAGATGAAGTGCTTAAACCAGAACTTTACAATTTGATTAAATTGCATAAGCCAGCTTATAAAAAATTTGCCATAGATCAAATTCTTCATGGTGCTGGCCACGATGTTCTAAGTCTGCCACCCTACCACCCCGATTTAAGTCCAATAGAACTCGTGTGTGCCACAATGAAGTCTTACGTAGCAGCCAGAAATGTCGATTTCGAGTTTTCTACCGTTTCAAAATGGTGCGACGCGTTTTTCAATAACTTTACGCCCGAAGAATGGAAAACTGGGTGCGAGCATGCAAAAAAAAAATGAGATAGAGTTTATGCAGCAAGAGCCCGCTGGTGATAGAGTTGCAGACGAAGTTGTTATCCATTTAAATGAAGTTGACAGCGATAGCGACTTTCTCGAGACCGAAACTGAAGATGAAGATGCCGAAGAACGGAACGATGAAGCAGAAGGGGAATCTAGCGGAGTTTTGGATGTACAGTCTGGCAAAGTCAGTTTAAGCTGTGAAAAACCGGTGGCACCGTAAACATCACGTCACAGCTCAGGCTGAATTTGCCAAATTGCGTAAATGTTTAGTAAGAGTAGCTTGAACTATTCATATACTTTTATAGTCTTTGATTAAAATATAGATAATCTTCAAAGTTTTAGGCAAATGAATTAGTTTCGACTGCTTCTAAAACTGCAGTGAAAGGCAGTGAAAAACAACATTTCAACCTTCTTTCATCATAGAATCAAATAACAGTCGTTTGCCTACTGTGAAAAAACTTGGCGCGTCGACTGTACTTCTACATTCATTGGCTATTATTGTTTCTCCCAGATATAGCGCTCTCTCACTCCGTCGTTTGCGCATCTCACATCTCTAGCTACTCTGGTCGACCTATCCGCGAGTATTTGACTCAGGGGTTGGGGCGCCGTTGGATTGCCAGTTTCTTGGCCTCCTAGGTCACCCGATTTAACGTCGCTAGATTTTTTCCTGTGGGGACATGTAAAGTCTTTGGTTTACGAAACTCCAGTAGAAACAGAGCAAGACTTAATTGGACGAATTACAGCAGCATTTGAAATCATTCAAAACGAGTATAAAATTTTTAATCAAGTCCGCCAAAATCATGTGCGACGTTTAAATTGGAGGAAGACATTTTGAACAATTGTTGTGATGTTATCATGCACAAAAGGCAAAAATTAAATGCATTAAATCCCATTTAGGCAATTCATCGTCTTTCTAAATTTTAACGCCTCTTAGGGCCGTAGTGCCGTACTGACACTTTTCCGGATATGGGTCCCTATACTCAAGTGTTTTCTACTGTTACACTGAATAACTCCTAGAAGTCTCATCTCTTAGTTCTGAAACACCCTGTATAGAAAAAATGTATTTTACAAAGATTCGAGAAGCACGGCAATATTTAGTCTAAACTTACACAGAATCTCCCAGACTAAATATACATTTGTTTTAGTTATTATACCCTTTAACGTTGCATAGAACACATAATTATATGCTACTGCAGTATTTTTTTAAAAATGACTGAATTCAACTTTCTACCACTCATTCGATCAGATACATGGTGTTATTTAAGTACGTGGTCAAACTTCAGAAGGTGATTCTAGTAATTTTATGATGAAAAGTTTACACAAACATAGGCCCAGAAATAATTCATTCTCAAGATACATAAACATTCAGTCGATTGTAATTAAATTCAGCAGTGGTATTAAGGACAGTAAGGGGTTTATTTAGCATGAATTAAATTGAAATTATTAATAGCATTGGTGTCCCGGAAGTCACTCAAAATCAATCAAATTTGTGCACCTCTGAATTTGTCTATTTTTTTTCAAATTGAGCAGCTGCTTCTTTCATATCTCGCTTTGTTTGCGAGATAAAAAATAAATGCATTTTATTGCATGTCCCTGGGGCAATAACATGATAAAACGCTAAGACTACCAAACTAATTGAGCAATTAATATTAGACGGAAGTCATCTCTTGAATTGAATAATTTATAACAACATTGTTTTAAAAGTAACAAAAAATAAGGCTGCGATGAAAGGAAAAACAGCTGCTCCTCAACAAATTGATTTAACTTACTTAAAGCAGTGCGTAAGTAATTATTTAAAGTGTTTTTAACAATCTTAAACTGTAAAAAAAACAATATTGGAAACTGGTTAAGTTTACAAACACAGAATTGGCTGCTATGCATTTTATTAATGGAAAGACTCAAGGCGCAATTCTAGGCGCATTTATCAAGAAAGATATCATCAAAGCCATTAGACCAAATAGGCAAACATTCGTAAGAATACATGAAAGACTTTCAAAGATCGCCTGCTGTAATGGGGAGACCTGCCAGCGCCACTGGCAAAATATTACAACATTAAATAACGTTATGTAAATATTTGATGTTTATTTGTTTTATCGAAAGCAGGTGTAATCTGAGCAAAACAATTCAAAAGACGACTTTCGTGTAAATTTTTTATCATCAAAAACATGCAATAAAGTTTTTTATATCTTTTATCTGTGAAATATGAAAGCAACTCAGGAGACAAAGAAGTTGTATTTTAAGCTGCTTAATTCGAAAAAACATTGAAAAAGTCAGTGGCGCACAAATTTTTTGTCAAAGATTGGTTTGGGGTGTTATTCGGGACCCCACTGGACCTATGAATTTCAATCTAACTGCTGATTAGCCCCTTGATATCACTGCAAAATCGACTGAAAGTTAACTGAAATATTTATGAAAAACCATTTTTTTCAAGTCAAGCATTTCTGGACCTATGTCTAGATGAACTTTTCATCTTAAAATTACTCAAAGAACCACTTCCTGAAGCTTGGCCACGTACTTAAGTAACACCCTGTAAAGAATAATATAGTTTAAAAAGGATACATTCAAGGACAACACATAATTATATTATTTTATATTTGTTTTTTAAAGCTTGTATTTAACTATATATCAAATAAGACATACCAGAAACTCAGTCTTTCTTTGTTGTTATCAGTTTTGCTTACAGTTTGCCCATCATATTCACGTTGGAAGCATCATAACTGTATGGAGAAAATTGGCTTTAAACATTTTTTATTTCGACTTTTTACTTTATTGAAATTTTAAATATTTAGTTTAATTGGTTTGTTATTACATACCTTGTTTTTGCAATTTTTAAAAAATGTTAAATGACACCTGTTTGTCTTCAATTTATGTTTGCTAAACCATCTAACTTCTTACTAAGTCCCGTTGATACGATTCTTGAAGAAAAATCTTTAAACCATATTGCTCTATCAAACCAAAGCGATGATAGAAAGCTGAATTATGTACATATATAAAGCAAAATTTAAATCACTAACCTGTGTCAGTAAATAACGAGTGCTAATAATGAGCTTATTGCCTCAGAGGGTGGTTGCATTTGGTGCTTTGAAAACTGAGGTCGACGTTGTTTGAATACCAGAATCTTTAATGATTGCTTGAGTCAGAAACGTTCCATACGATTTCGCTACTTACGGGAACAGGCAAGTTTTATTGTGTCAAACTCAGTTCTGACAGCTTCTTCTTTTAGATTCTGGGACATCGAATACTGTCTATATCAATTTTAGACACTCTGCACGATCCCCTCTTTAAGAGATAATCCTTCTTACGGCATTTCTTGCGCCTCTCGTAATTCTGTCCTTCCCTCTCCAAATTCCCCGATTACTCCAGCGCTGTTCCGAAGATGCAAAATGATCCTCGATGCTCAAATGTATTTGCTTCTTAGTTAGCATTTTCTCATGTTTAATACTGAATGGCAACAAACAGGCGCACAGTTCACCCTCTTCGTTGATTTTCTGCAAGGCCAAAGGACCATCCTTCATCTTTCTTTCTCCACACACATCATTTTCGCTCTTCTTCCTGTTTTTTTTTTTCAGAAAAACTGAAAATTCTATCGGAGGTTCTAACGACTAATGTTATTGTTAGCTCTTACCGCTTCATCGTTGTTTCTCCATTTTTGTAAGAGAGAACACAAACATGTTTTTGATTCAGTTCCTTCATCTTTTGCCTATCGTAAGAATCCGGATGTTGTCACACTATCTTTAAATTTATCCCACTGCCAGTCTCGTCCTTTTCCACTGTCTTGTTATCCTGTCTGTTCTATCATCCATCCAATTTCTTCCTTCCTTTCTGCATTGCTTTCCTAGATCCGTCAGGAGTCACCTTTGATCCAACTTGGTCTTCTGAGGCGTTGATTCCAGTAGCCATGCTGCCCTTAATACCGCCCCTCCTTTCTTCCTTCTCCCTTTCTTCCTCCTCTCTCCGTTTACTGCCCTAGAGGAGCTAAAAGACACTGCAGCCGCCTTTGCCTCACCTTGGTCTTCTGAGCTGCACTGCGTGTTTCAACTGACGCCCATGTTCTCTTACTTCTCCGTTTCCTCTTCCTAAAACAGCAAAAAGGACACCCTGGTGCATGTAGGGTGGTCTTTGCCCCACATTGCTCTCCTGAGCCGCCCCTTCAAATGATCTTGCTGCCTTCGCCGCCTCCTGTACCACCCATCTTCTCTTCCTTCACCCTTTCGTCTTGCTTGCTTCCGTTTGCTGTTCTAAAAGAGCAAAAAGGACACCCTGGTGCGTCGGGAGGCGCCTTTGCCCCACATTGGTCTCCTGAACCGCCCCTTCAATTGATCTTGCTGCCCTCGCCGCCTCCTGTACCACCCATCTTCTCTTCCTTCACCCTTTAGTCTTGCTTGCTTCCGTTTGCTGTTCTAAAAGAGCAAAAAGGACACCCTGGTGCGTCGGGAGTCGCCTTTGCCCCACATTGGCGTCCTGAGCCGCCCCTTCCAATAGTCTTGCTGCCCTCGCCGCCTCTAGTACCACCTATCTTTTCTTCTTTCACCCTTTCTTCATCCTTGCTCCGATTTGCTGTCCTAAAAGAGCAAAAAGGGCACCCTGGTGCGTCGGGAGTCGCCTTTGCCCCACATTGGCGTCCTGAGCCGCCCCTTCCAATAGTCTTGCTGCCCTCGCCGCCTCCAGTACCACCCATCTTCTCTTCCTTCACCCTTTCTTCATCCTTGCTTCGATTTGCTGTCCTAAAAGAGCAAAAAGGACACCCTGGTGCGTCGGGAGTCTCCTTTGCCCCTTCGGGACATCCCCATTTGTCATAAGCCTTGATCGCTTGATCCGCCAATGCCAGCAGCTTTTCCACCCTCGCCGCCCCCGGTACCGCCCGCTCCACCGTCGCCGCCCGGGCCGCCCCGACCTGCTGATCCCCCAGCGCCGCTGCGGAAATCCAGCTTGTACTGCAAAAAGGGGGAAAACACCAATCGAAGTTAGAAAGGGTTATGATGGTTTGGGCGATTCTAAGATTAGTACAATTTTGTTCGATCAATCAACCCTATTTTGTATCTGAAAATGTGACAGGTACTCAAGCTAGCGCTAATAAAGGCACAAAAGATCCCACTAGGCAATATACATTATATAATTTTTTTTCTCTGAAACTGGTGAATGAATGCTGACTGTGGCATTTCTTGATTGATAAACCCAAAGGGATATTCTTAACTTTTACGACGGAAGTTTACAATTAATGATGAAAAAAAGTAGTTATTTGAATCATTTAAATGTTTGTGCATATATGTAGATAGTGAATTAAAATTTGTCGGACAGTATTGTTTCAAAAATTTGAAAAAAAAATATTCTAAAAAATGTGTACAATACTATCATTCTCCCTCATTTGTTATATTATTCGACTATTTTGTTCACTGATAACGGAACTATTTCTTCAGAATTACAAATATTACAAAATAAGGCCATAAGAATCATCTTAAAGAAAATCAGTTAGAAAATTTCATTAAATTAAAAAAAGCAACATAACAAACGAATCAGAGTTTCAAAAAGGATTGTACGAATTCAATAAATTAAGTAACGATATCAAGATGTGTGCTGATTTGAAAACGTTTAAAGGAAAGTGAGAAAATATTCCATGAAAAACCAAACGTACAATATTATGTGATATACTGTGTAACTTTGATATTGTCGCATTGATGCTAAATAAGCTCTTAAATATACTAAGTGACATATAAATCCGAACACCCAGTTTAAATGGTTTTATTTTAATAAAAGTTGGTGAATGTATTTATCTTACGATAAATAACAAGTGAAAAAATTTTCAGCCTTGTCAGTTGGACATTCCGGTTTTTATACTGCTTTTTTTAATTCACTAACGCTCTAAAAATGAATATTTCAGCCGCAGTAAAGAATCAACGTTGGCGGACTTTGGTTCTTGACATCCTTTACGATCGGTTACGATGCCTAGAGTACGGAGACCTGTACGATTTCGTCAACTTAGTGAGTTTGATAGGGGCCGTATAGTGGGACTTCGGGAAGCTGGACTTTCTTTTCGGGCAATTGCAATTAGAGTGCAAAGAAGTGTAGACACTGTGGTTAGGTGTTGTCAGGCATGGCTTCGAGAAGGCCGTACGCAAAGAGCAAGGGGCACTGGACGCCGCCGTAGAACAACAGACCGTGAAGATCGCCGCCTAACATTATTGGCCTTAAGAGACCGTTTCTCCACTACCATGTCCATTGCAAATGAAAGGTTTGCAGAACACGGAAGATCTATTGGCATGCGAAGTGTTTACCGACGAATGAGAAGTTTTGCCTTGTTTTCATACCGGCCACACTGGGTCCTCCCTTTAACTCGAGAACACCGATGTAATCGCCTTGAGTGGTGCAGACAACGGTCACTCTGGGATCAGGAATGGAACAGTATTGTCTCTAGTGACGAGTCTCGATTTTGTTTAGGCATGCACGATGGTCGTGCCAGGGTTAGAAGGCGACGTGGTGAAAGGAGGAATCCACAGTTTTTTGTTGAAAGACATGTTCATCACACTGTTGGAGTTATGGTTTGGGGTGCTATACCTTATGGTTCCAGGTCACCTTTAATCTTCATCAGAGGTAACATGAACGCGCAGCGTTATATCCACGAAGTTCTAGAACGCCATCTTTTACCCTATCTTGACACCCTGGCAGATCCAACTTTCCAACAAGATAATGCCCGACCACATGTTGCAAGAGTCACAATAGACTTCTTTCAACATAATGATGTCACATTGTTACCATGGCCACCAGGATCTCCCGACTTATCCCCAATTGAGCACGTGTGGGATATGATGGGTAGGAGATTGCTCAATTTGCAACGTCCTCCTCAGACTCTAGAAGCACTTCGAGAGGAGTTGGTGGTTGCCTGGAATGAGATACCACAGGAGGACATTGACCACCTGATCAGAAGCATGCCTAGGCGCGTTGGAGAATGCGTAGCACATCAGGGTGCTTCCACACATTATTAAAGGTCAAAGGGCTTTAAAGCAGTGTAATCATTTTGAAATTTTTATCATTTACTTATTATGCTTCATTAAGTACTTATACAAAATTTTGTTAAAATAAAACCATTTAAACTGGGTGTTCGGATTCATATGTCACTTAGTATATTTCATAATTGCCATCATGAACCTCTATTTCTCTGTAAGCCCTTTATCCAAGTTGGATATGCTTACATTTTTGTTACTATACCAACCGTATACAGCGCCATTTTCTGCTTGTTAGCAATCATCAGTACGGTATAAGACAGAAGACGGCAATTAAATAGATAGTGGTCTACAGAAAAGCTCACTTATCTCCTGCTGACCTCTTTGTGCCCTGAGACAGCAGAGCACCAGCTTAGAGCTATAATTTCTTGAAGTAAGGGGTAATGTGGACTTGATTGAACGAACAAAAACACTTCCATTATTCGAGAAATGTTCTCCGAACCTTAAGTGTTGCTGTTGAATAAAAAGAATGTCCAGAACATTGAGTATTGAATCGAAAAAAGGGTAATATGACTTGCTATTATACTAGTGAGAAAAATTATGGAAGATTTAACGACAAAAAACCATGTGTTGGAAGTGATCGCGAAACAATGAAAAAGCATACGTTCAATGTCCAATGTTCATTTATCCAATCAAAGATCACAATAGGTTATAATGCTGTAATTCTTGGTTAAATAGAGACATTCTCTCATTTAATGGAAATGTTGCTACATATGTCAGGTTCTTGTAGTCCACTTTGCCTGAACTGGTTGGAAATAATTAGCCGTTTGAGTTTGTGAAAAAGTGATTGTTCACATATTTGTCCATGTTTAAACAAAAACCAATGAGTTTCAAGTAAAACTGCATTCTAGGGCTTCTAAATAGGTCTCACCTTACTTTTTTAACTACGTAAAGCTTTTAACAAATAAAAATAATAATACCAATGAATTGTGAGGAATAAACTTTTATTTTTATCCTCTCGACGCATTTTTAATGCATGTTTTTATGTGAGAGAGTAAGAATTTGTAATAAAAGCAATCATTTTTAGTGGTGTGTCTGGTCGTAACTATTTGTAGGATTCATATATACTTCTCGAACCATAACAAGGTGACTATAACTATCAAATCTATATTCTCGTGTGACTAATTAGAGCAAATTTCAGCAAACGAAAACTCAAACGGCTTATTTGTCTCTAAGAAAACATTACAAACCCGCAGAGACATCAACGAGTCATGTTTATATGATCACGACGTGATTTTTTCAACATGAGCACGTGAAGTAAAGCAAGAAGCAAATAACATGTCAATGTCTCTGCTGCATTCGCTAATAAACTAGTGCTAAAGTGTGTTAGTACCATGTATCAACTCTAGCAATGCATATCAACTTCAGCAAAGCAAGTCTAAAGCAAAAACAAAGATTTAATCAAACGCATATGCTTTTATTTCTTTATCTTTCTATGTCACTAAGTCATATCAGTATATGCAAAATCAGGTCAAAATAGTGACTGTGAAATCACTAAATATTGTGTGGTAACTATC